CAAAAATATAACCTAATACGTTACAATTAAGGCATATTGGATGTTAAAATGCGTTTTAAACATAAAGTTAAGTGCTTATCATTACCCATGTACTCTTAGTAATTTAATAATGTAATAAATTTCATAATTTAAAAGTTTAGTTCAGAAGTATCGAATCGATATCGACGATACTGCCTTGAAAAATATCGGTATCGTATCGAAAACAAAATAAGTGGTATCGCCCATCCCTAGTCTCTACAGTGAGTGAGTGAGTGAGTGAGTGCCTCAGAGTTGCCAGGTTTTCACAACAAAACCCGCCCAGTTGCTATTCAAAACTAGCCCAATGGCGCTTTGAGGAGGGTCCCCCGTTAGAAATCGCGTTCCGGGAGGTAAAATACAAATTTCAGGGGCTAAATATCACGTTATTGGGGTTGCTTCAACCCGCGGCAAAGGTGTTAAAGTAGCTCAATTCCCGCGGACCTGGCAACACTAGTGTAACGCGAAATCAACTCATTCAAAATCACACGAGCTCGTGTGAACTCAATTCAGCGCCATTGGCTGAAGACTGCAGGAGGCGTGGCCTAATTTGGGGGTGTGTGTGTCGTGGGCGGTGTCCCTCTGACACCCCATTGGCTGCGCTCCCAGCCAATAGCGGAGCAGCAGAAGGGAGTGTAGCCCGCTCACGAGTACTACGACCATTCAGTTCGGAGTCTTCGCGCGGTCTAGGACGCTCAGCGAGAATTCTTGGAGTTCTTTTTTCACGGATGCGAATTCGCTGCATTTTTACGAGCTCCGAATTCCATTTAGCTGTGCACTGGCTGAGGTAGTAGTTTGTGCTGTTGGTTGGGATGTGACATTGCCCGTTATGGAGATGACTGCGCAAGCTACTCCCTTGCCAGTGCTGGTTACACTCTTCCCAAGCTGGAATTCGCTTTGGAATCCACATCTTCTGGGGAAATGTGATGTTTTATGTGATATTTATGTATACATGTGTGATATCGTTACAGCTGTGCATGTTAAAATTGTTCTGAGAGTTGTAGAGCTATGTAAATGTGTGCTCAATGGTAAGTCTAATTTAAATGCAATAAATGTGTATATTGTGAAACACGTTGCTGTGTTAAGCGTCTAATTTTTGCTTTTATTAATGATGTTTTAATTATTTTGCCACTATAACAGGACACTGAATTGTAAATTAATGGGGATTGGCCATATGCCCCAGTTTTCTTCAATAAAGTACTGTTTTTTTTGTCGAGCACAGCAAAAAAAAGCAGATATTACCATCGGGAACACGACGGGTAAGGTTATTAATTTTAATAGATGCTTGATTTAGCCCTTGGGATGGCTAATACATGTAGGTCATACTCTACTGTTGCTATGAAGAGAGCTGTGACGTGGCTTCTTCTGCCCACTACGGTAGAATCATCGATCGTGACGTCACGTGGGCTGGTTTGGACTCAACCAGAGCACGTGCGTGGAAAATGTATATTTTGTGTAGTTAATGATTTAACCATTGTAGAAAAAGTGGAGTTAAAGGGTTAGTTAACCCAAAAATGAAAATTAGCCTGTGTTTTACTCACCCTCGAGGCATCCTAGGTGTATATGACTTTCTTCTTTCAGACGAATCCAGTCGGAGTTATATTAAAAATTGTCCTGGCTATTCCAAGCCCTAGTCAGCGGGTGTTGCAGTTGAACAGTCCACAAGTCGTCAAATAAAGCGCGCGCATCCATAATAAACGTGCCTCACACGGCTCCGGGGGGTTGAATTAAGGCCTCCTGTAATGAATCCATGCGTTTTTGTAAGAAAAATATCCATATTTCAAACGTAATAAACACTTTTCTCTCACTTCCGTTATCTGTCATACGTGGAAGCCGTTCCGGCGGATGACGCAGCACGTATACGCAGCGCGAGTGCCTCTGAGATATGCTAGTCTCGCGAGTTTGTTTATAGGAGCAAAGGAAGCAA